TTGGACTACTCCAGCTACAGGGGACAGTTTGGGGAGTAGAAACATGAAAGGGAGCAGTAATAGTATAAGAATTATTTGTTTCTGTGTAAAGTGTTCCACAATGTTTGTAAATGAATACATTTGTGTGCTGTTAAACTTGTCAACAGTTTTTTTACTGACTGTCCTAAATTAGCGGTGGCCTGAAATAATGATGGACTGATGAAAACAGACTGGTGGACCAGCCACTGGCGAATGACGAATGATGGACCGACGAAAGCGCCCATCATTGGAAAATAGCTTTTGAGTGCATGGTTGTCTGTTGTCTGTCAACACTTGCACAAGTGGCAAATCCCTGTCATAGAATTACCATATTTTCCGGAGTATAAGTCACAGTTTTTTTCATAGTTTGGTCGGGGGTGTGATTTATACTCTGGAGCGATTTATGTGTTAAATGGCTAATACATTGTACACATCACGTTATTTTCACATTAAACCGCAAGAGGGTGCTCTCGGCCTGTGTTGATACTTTCCACGTTGGCGGTAACTGAGAAAAACAACTGACGATGACGATGACTCTGACGTAAGCAACGTAGAAGAGGAAGCGCTGCATCTTCTACCTCCGGAGTTGGCGGAGTTTTTTTAAAAGTGACACAGAGCATGAAGATTTTATTGGATTTCGTGATTTGGAGCGACGCTGATGGTTTGGTGAATTTGTTAGCATGTTCTTTGTGCTATAGTTGTCTAAATAACTCTTAATATGTTTCGTGAACATACCAGGCACATTCACAGTTCGTTGTTTAAGCGTCATGTAATGTTAGCATATCGTACACTTATTCAGCCTGTTGTTCTCTAGTTTTATTTTTATTTTAAATTGCCTTTCAAGATGACATGTATGTTTTTGGTATTGGATTTATCAAATAAATTTCCCCCAAAAATGCGACTTAAACTCCAGTGTGACTTCTATGTTTTTTCCTTCTTAATTATTCATTTTTTGACTGGTGCGATTTATAATCCGGAGCGATGTATAATCCGAAAAATACGGTAAGTGTAATGTACAGAAACAAAATTCTTCCCTCAAAATGTGAGCTCCTTGTGGGAGTATGTCTGTGAGCACAAGTGGCAGACACTATGGGGCAAAAAATGACAAGCTTCAGAGGGAGAGGTACACTAGGAGTCTGCGGGTCATCGACTGAAACACTAAATGAAATGACACAGATGCCCTCTCAACAACATAACAAGTGGGGAGGGACAGCGGAGAAGTAACACAATTCTACGCTGCATCACGGTGGGTGATTGATGTCACCTGGGATGAATACAACATCGGCGATGAAGGGTATTTGCCCAGAGTGGAGAAACGTGGTAGGAATAAGGTATCAAATGCGTGTGTCGACAAAAGTAGATGGTAAATGGTAAATGGGCTGTCACTTGTAGAGTGCTTTTTTACCTTTGGTACTCAAAGCGCTTCACACAGTTTCCTCATCTACCTCCTGATGACGCAGCATCGGGAGCAACTGGGGGTTCAGTATCTTGCTCAAGGATACTTCGACAAGGTCGCAATGGCCGGGATTGGACACACAAACTCTGGGTTGGGAGATGACCACTCTACCACTGAGCTCACGTTGCCCATATCAGTACTCAGTTTTCCTCAGCTCGCCTCTGTTTCGGTTTGTATGATTAAGTTAGTGGGTAAACTTGTTTCGTAATGTACAGCGTGGATTTCAAAGAGATGTAAACGTCTGGTGTTGCGTCGCTCACTGCTGATTTTTTTTTGCTTCTCATTTGGCTGTCAGTCACACACATGCACCCACCCACCCATAGTGCAATAGAGTAGTAATATACTCCTCATTTAAGTATTTGATAAGCAAAATCGCTCCTCAAAGAATAAACCATTTTTTGAGCCTTGATTATCATTTAGTTGAGTAGTATTGGTGAGGTAAGAGGTCACTGATGCTGAATAAGTGACATGTTTTATAATCTCGTACCAAATATGTTTGATAGGGTTTTGGTCAGGACGCTTCAATTCATTCAAATCAAATTCATGCAACCATTCCTTGATGGACACTGCCTTGTGCGGGTTTAGCCATGCTGGAGATGGAAAGGACCTTCCCCAAGCTTTAGTCTGTCATTGAGCTGTTCTGCACTCCTGCCCGAGTGTTATTAATGGCAATAAGTGTAATACGAGGAATGAGGACAGAAAATAGAGGGATGATTTTTTTTTTTGTTCAGATTCATGAGGAAAAGGTATAGTCAACATGTGATGAGTTGATCTAAAAGTGTCTCCCAAAACTTGTGACATAAGGGTCCTCAACCACACGTACCATTTTTGCAGAATGGCAATGGTTTCATTGTCACATATTCCAGGCATGTCAGCGACAATGTGACAGTTGTATGACATTATTTTACTCTTGTAATAATTAACAATAATTGACAGCAACAATTGATTTCACTCCAAACAGATTGATTGATTGATTTACATAAACGTAAAAAAAATCTCTATTTCCCCTCCTTGTAAAACTTCAGCATAATTGTTATTGCAGAGGATTATTGTGATGCTTTTGATTCTTCTGTGTATGCCTGTGCCTGCTTACGTGCCTGTGCACGGGGTTGCTCAGTGGGCAGCTTGCAATGATTTCACACTGAGCTTTTGCTTTTGTGCCTCTGATGTATCAAACAGCATTTCATTCTCCCTTTTCCACACACACACACACACACACACACACACACACACACACACACACACACACACACACACACACACACTCTTTCATTTGCTCGCTCTCGCTGAGGCACACAGCAAGTGTCTCATCGTCCATCTCAACTTGACACCCATGAACAGTGATGTTTTCTTTAGGCGCCGATGCTACAGGGTATAATATTTCATAGAATGATGGCATTCACTGCTTGATGTTCTCCTCCACAACAAAATTCCCATCAATTTCTTGCTTTCTATTTTATGTCAAGCTTGATCATTGTCTTTGCTCTTCTTTTAATAGGCTCCACTGTTTTGAAATCTGTAGTCATTGGAATGTAATGAAACCTGCAATTTGCCGATTTCATGTGGTGATCTGTGATTTGATTTTCCTCAGCTCGTCAGCTGACAACTTGAACTTGGATGTAGGTAGAATTCATTGTATGTTTCTCTTTAATGATCAGAGTGGGTTTGTCAGTAAATTTTGCCGATCCGTCATTCGCCAGCGGTCGGGCCATCTGTCGTTATAGTCAGTCTGTCATCTTTCCAAGCCAAACAAAAACTGCAACAACGACTACATCTGGCATCTGTGACCCAAACCAGACGTAATCATTTACAAAATGTTCTGTAAATAACAAATTTCAACAAGATTTAACAGAAAACCATAATCATAAAGGTTTCTATGCAAATGAATACACATAGACTGCATACAAAAACTTGACTCAGACCAAGATTATGGATTCATGTTATCATGGCACCCAATCACAGGCAAGACGGGCCCCAGCACACTTGCAAAGAATCAAAGCTCCGGCCTTCCTGTGTGGAGTTTGGATGTCTTCAAAGTACTTGCATGGATTTTCTTCTGGTTCTTCAGTCTTCTCCCTCATTCCAAATTAGATTGACTGAAGACTTTGTGCTTAGGTGTGAGTGACTGTGAATGGCAACCCCACTGAGGAAAAGAGGTGTTTGAACCAGACGGCTGTGAGAAAACGGCACTTGTTTGCTGACATTCAACCGTCAAATGAGCAACCAATGTGAGTGATGCCAAGCACTCTGTGATCGCAAGATTAGAGCAGGTGGCCAACATGATTTTTATGATTATTGTTATTATTATTTCTAATTCTTTATCGTGAGTCAACAGCAATTTGTTTCAGCTGCAGTTGTTTTTTTTTTTGCTTTATAAATGAAGTTGAAGATGGGTTGAGTCCTCTGTAAAGACACCCTATGCTGAATAAAGCAAAGCACCCCCAGCAAATGGCCAAGTCCCATCCAGCAGTATGTGTAATGTTTTTTTTTAAATTATTTTTGTTTAATGTTCAATATTTGCACTTGTCAATATTTGCGACACATATGTCTGCAATCAAAGGATTGCAGCCCAGGAGGTGGATGTGGCTCCTGGAGGCCACAGAAATGGCCTTGCTGTGGCTGTTGATCTGTAGGGAATGGGGGGGGGGGCATGGAGCAATATGCCAATTGGGCACAAGCCGAGGACTGTTCATTCTGGGCTGGGTCACCAGGGCGAGTGTGTCTGCTAATTCAAGACCTGAAACACTCCGGGTTCATCACTTATAAAGTGTCACCATCAACAAGTATCACACTCTGGTCTATTCAAGCATTGACGTTTTTGGCCTCATATGTCCAATGATATCCTTCCAGAAAATGGGACATGTAAAATTTGAGGGTCAGGTTGTTGTATTCCAACGAGGCCAACTGCTGGCTAAAATAGAACTGTGTGTTTAAGAAAAAAAAAAAAGAAAGAAAACGTTGGATGTGTGTTGGTGCCCAGGAACTACAGTCCAAGTGTTGTTCAGGCCCAAGGAAGCAAATACAGCAACACAGTATTTGACTATTGCAGGATAAATCCTTGGCATCAAAACCTTCCTGTCTGAAAGTGAGAGTGGTTTTGCAGCAGTGCCAAATGACACATGCAACTAAAATGTCATTCTAACATTGAGTAGCATTGCCAAAACAGGTACTAAACAGATATCTGTCACAGTATGGTGTATTTGATTTTTTTCTCATTACCAAAGTCAGTTAATTCAAATCTACATACCGCGTGCGCGCACGCGCGCATGCACGCACACACACACACACACACACACACACACACACACACACACACACACACACACACCTATCTATCTATCAATCGATAGATAGATTTATTTATTTTTTTCCCCATCCATTTTTTGATCCGCCTATCCCAGGGGTGAGCAATTATTTGAGTCCTGGAGGGCCGCTATCCTGCATGGTTTCCATCTCTCCCTGTTGCAACACACACAATTCAAATGATCAGATCATCAGCAAGCTCTGTGGAAGCCTGATATTGAACATGTTCATTTCAATCAGGTGTGTTGCAACAGGGAGAGATGGAAAACATGCAGGATAATGGCTCTCCAGGACTGGAATTGTCCACCCCTGACTTATCCTCACAAGGGTCGCGGGGTGTGTTGGAACCTATCCCAGCTGTCTTCGGTAGTAGGCAGGGGACACCCTGAACTGGTTGCCAGCCAATCGCAGGGCACAACAACGAACAACTATCCGCGCTCACACTCAAACTACACATCTAGGGACAATTTAGAGTGACTCATTAACCTGCCATGCATGTTTTTGGAATGTGGGAGGAAACCGCATTCCCAAGCAAAAAACCACACATGCACAAGGAGATCATCCAAACATCCACACTGTAAGGCCGGTGCCCGTGCTCGAACCCTGGACCTCTGTACTGTGAGGCAAATGTAACCAGTCGCTCCCATTTTCTGTCTGTTTCGATTGTGTTTCAGCTCCAGCTGGAGTGAAGAGCGTTTCCCTCCAGCACATGCACCTGTTCAGCATTTCCCCATCAAGCTTTGCCAAGTGTGTAAGGACTGCCAAGTTCCCAAATCTTTGTCGGATTATTGACCTTGCTCGCTGTTGTGCTTCAAGTGTTGTATTCTAGACCTCTTGATATTATTCATAGTCGTTCTCATTTTGTCATAGAACTTTGAATTTTCATTATTCCTTTTTATCAATCTTGATCTTTGGTTTCGCATAATTGGACTTTTGATATTTCATTTGTGTATGCTTGGTGTTCTCTTGTACCTTGCGCTAAGAACCTGACAGTCGCCCGCCATGCCACTAAATTTAAAAAAGAATCACATGTGTACATACAGTATATAGGCCGCAGGTGTCCACGTTGTAACATGGAGTATTTAAACAGAAAGATGTTTCTCACCTCACCCAAAATTGCCCCTTTTCTTTATAATTATCTATTATATGGTTCCCCCAAATTCTATTTGTTGAAAGTATTATCCGCACAGTAATTTAGCAGAGTGGGATTTCGTGTGTTAAGTAATTTTTGTGGGATTTCTCTTACCTTGCAAAAATATTTGTCTGTCATCAAAGGAGTCGGAGCAAGGAAGAAGAAAACGGCCTTGAATAAAAACAAGCTTGTCCTAACTGATGTCTTGTTTTGTATAAAACTGGGTTCCCCCCAATGGCAAGAAGTATTTTACAAAGCACGTGTTTTTCCCCACATATTCATCACGCTCTGGCCTCTGACACAAAATCAGAGATAATCAGGAATATGATTTTATTTTATTTTTTAATCTTCATCATACTTGTAACATCATGCGAGAGGGCTTTGTCTCACATTATACCGCACTTTGCTAGCTCATGGCCTACATCTCAGAGTAATCGCTGGTTCCTGAGGTGAGACCACGACCTTTAAAAATTGGGATTACCCCTTCATTCCCTGTGAACGTGCACACCCGAGGGCGAAAGGGTGGAAAAAAAGGCTGAATACAAGTGGCCCTAAATGCATTGGTGGCATGAAGCTTATGTGTGTAAAAGGTAGTCCGTAAATGACAGTAATGTATTGTAATGCCTGTACATCTTGGCAAGTAGGATCGCAGTCCGCAACTTTCAGCTGTTTATTTATTGAGACAATTCGTCAAATACACAAGTACAAAATACGAACAGGCACTGAACTACCTGTATAACCAACCATCTTGACTCCAGCTCCTGCACATACCAAACACACAAATCCTAGGGTAATTAATGCAATCCTTATAACTTTACAAAAAAAACAATGTATTTACTTACATTTCTTTTATTATGCTTTATTTTACTTTTTGACACTGTATTGCTATTTTTCTTCCCAGAAACCGATAAAATAAAATTTACTTTATCTACAATCAAACTGAGTTACAAGCATGGTCACAAAATGAATTGAACTTATCAGTCAAGGTACTATGTACAGTATTTTACTGAATTTTTAGTTTTTAGTTTTTTTGGGGCGTTTGTTCATTGTATTTATAATTCGCTTCAATTAAATATACTCTGCGGGCCAGCACGCACAGTCTAGTTGTGGTCCATTATATTTATAACCACCAGGTCACGCATTCCCTGGTACTTACACTTTACTGTTTAACCACACGTACACATACACATTCGTCTTTGGTACCATGCCTGACATGAATCTTCATTTCTGCCCATGGCCCTTGTCCATGTGTTATTGATGGAGCACACATTGGCGCCCACTCAGCCACACAGTCAGACCCTGGTGAGCAATCTTAGCTGATCCTCAGTGACCAATAAAGAGAGACCGGAGACTGACAGGTTACTTGGAACCTCTGATTTATTGAGTGGGGTCTGAAGTCTCAATCTTCTTAATTACTTTTTCCCCCCAGTCTGCTTGATTTTACTTGCTTTTTTTTCTGTTTTTACAGAACCTTGAGCTTCAAGTCTTGATAATAAGAGGATGAAAAGCGGCCAGGGTCACCGCCAATACAATAATGTCTTCCTATAGTCCCCATATATACAGTTAAGATAAAATAGGTAAGAATTTGAGTTTTGAAATCGTGCCAGAGAATGTTACAATGACAACAAAGGAATGAGAATGACAGCAAAGTATTCAATTAAAGGTGCCATGTTTTGCATGATGGTAGTGCAAAGGAGGACCCCAAAAAGCAGGGAGGCAGGGAGGAGCAGGGTGGAGTGACCAAAATGTATTTAACAAAAATGCCAACAGGAATACACTGGAGAAACTAACTCAAAAACTCTCTCAAATAAAGTCCAGCAAAATCAAAGTAGCAAAAAACCTAAGACAGAAAACAAAACATGACACGTGCGCACAGCAACAAACAAACAGCAACAATGACCCGACACCGAATGGTCGTGCCGGAGTCCTTTTAAACAAACAAACTAATGACACAATGACTAACAGGTGTGCAGCTGCAGGCGGAGCCCTACAGTGCCACCTGTTGGCCACAAACAGAACCATAACAAAAGGATCATTTTTCTCCAAGAATTACAGTTTAATTCGGGCAAGCATGGTTTCCAGAGCCAACCAACGGAGTTATTATAATTTCTAAACCAAATTGAACACCTTTTGAGCACCCTTCTACCATACGCAGATATAGTTGGGCAGTCCGCAAGTGGGTCTGTTATTTTTTACAAAGTATTGACCAATCGTTAAGTGTTGAAAATTGCTTGCTTTGTTTTACAATGCAATGTTACTGGCTCAAAATGTTACTGATTTTTCTAGGTGGTTTTTGAACAGACCTGTCATCAGACCTTAGTCTTAAGGAGACACATAAAATTAATGTTGGTGCCGGTGGGTGGGTGGGCAGCAGTTCTTCGTTAATTAATCAACAGACAGTACTTTGATTCATATTTCTGATGATCCAATAGCGCAGCACTGCCGCTCGCAGTCAGCTGTCTAGGCTCTGATTTGGTCATCCCTGCCCTAACAGCGAGGATTGAAATGTGTCCTTCCTTGGTATGCTGTACTACACAACCATAGTACTTTATTTATGTTGCACCTTTTAAAAATGTGGAACCAAAGAGTTGCACAAGTTCAATGGCCAAAGCAAACAAATAACACATAAAGACCTAAATCATAGATGGTGTAACATGAGCAGTCACTCAGGCTCTGTTTCAAAAGAAACAAAAATCTGCAGAGAGTGGGGCTTACCTAACATTCAGAGGCTGCTTGCTCCACAGCTCGAAATCCCAATCCCCTAAACTGATTGGAAGACCCGAGGGAACTTGAGGGAACATCGGGCTCCAACAGGTCGGAGAGATAGTTGGGTGCTAAGCCATTCAGGCATGTTAAAAACTAAGAGTACCATTACAAAATCAATCCCAAAAAAATCACAGTGCGGGGGTGTTGTGTGACTGGTTAGCGAACAAGCAGCAGTATTCTGGACTAATTGTAAGAGGGAGATGGGGAGAACTTTGACGAAGCACTAGCTCACCTCTGAAGTGCCTGAAAACACCATTCATGCTTGAAACGGATGTCCTCTTCCGATATTACATGCCATCTGCAGTGTTTTGGTCGATGACTTAAACTGCAGACTCCGGGTGAGGCTGGACCTGGTTGTACCACATTTAAAAAAAAAAAAAAAAATCCCCCAAGGATGAAAGTCGAAGTAAAAAAATTAAAAAACGAGTTGCTTGGCAACGAAGATGAAGGAAAATCTAAACCAATGAGAACTATAAAATATTCTGTGACCACCAAATACTATCCAACCACGCTGTGAGAAGATCAAGAAATGCTAAATTCTCTCAACTATTAAATGACCACAAGATCCATCCATCCATCCATTTTCTGGATAGTTCTAGTACAGCTGTCATACACTCACGAGCCGGAACACGTTACATCACTTCAGCCCTCAAGCATACCAAGGAAAAGTTTCAATCACAGACACTGAACTGGACCGTTGCCGACTGAAAATGCAACTAAAAAACGAGCCGACATACATCAGCTTGCATGTGTTGCATGCATCACTTGTGGTTGGTCAAAAAGATAATTCAGAGGTCTGACCAAGTTTATATGTTTAAAACAAACTGAATATGTCAGAAATGCTTCCTGTGTGTGATTACAAAATTAAAAAAAAATTGTTGTATTTTGAAAAAAATATATACATATATTAACCATCAATAAACTGGCCTGTGTCCCAAGGTAAAACTAAACAGCTGAAGCTACAAATGCATTTCCCTACCATTAGTGTTTTTGCGATTCCCATCGGTTGGAATAAAAAGGAATGATCCCAGGCTGCTCTCTGTGAGATATTTTACAAAGATTTTAAGCACAGCCGTCCAAGGTCTAAGGTATGTAAGTTTTCGGTAAAGTAAACAGAGATCCCTAAAAGAACAGGGACACTTTGAAGATGGGAAAAAAAAATCATCAAAGCTGTGTTCCCAAAGCAGAATGTCACTTCTCAACTGTTTACTTTTGAGAACGGCATCCGTTTGACATCAGTGTTTCGGCTTTGCAGCTCTCAGTACCTCTTCAGGTTGGGTGAAAGACAGTGAAGCAGACAGCAAACAATTACCCTTTTTCTCTATGTTGTAGAATCAATGCAGATATCACCTCAGGCCACAGCAGATATTAGATCACACATCATGAGAGAGGACAGAGTCAGGAAAAACTCAGAAATGAAAAAAATGGGTGCCAGGACTTTCCGCGTAGTTCTCCCTGCTTCAATGTATGAATCTCTGTTCGAATACATAATTCAAAACCCTGACCACGAATTTTAAGCCAAGATTGTTTATTTTACACAAGATACATTTAATAATCAAATGTGTAAAGCACGGTAGATAAAATCACTGCACACAACAGTAACATTCGTACCAAGAAATCATAATCCACTAAAATAGCTGCACTTCGTTGTGATGACAATGACAGAGCTGCCCTTCTTCATTAGGCAGCTTGATTTTGCAGCACATTTCATACACAAGGTAACACACTGGGCTTTACGTATTTAAAAGTACACCACTTACAAACAAATCAACTTAGACATTAAAAGAGTAAGTACAGAAATAAAAACTAGCTTACTAAAATGATTACATTTCACCACAAACGTGAATCTTTCGATGTTATTTTAAAGACTAAACAGTGTGTGTATGTGTGTATGTGTGTGTGTGTGTGTGTGTGTGTGTGTGTGTGTGTGTGTGTGCGTGTGTGTGTGTGTGTGTGTGTGTGTGTGTGTCTCAGGACACACATGTGACTTATAATGTTGAAACAGTCTTTTTGGAATGGATCCTGTATAAAATCATCAATCTCGCTGCACGCTTTTAAATTGGCTCCATTCCGTTGTTCCTGACTGTCTATGACCTTTTATGTGGCCACATGAATAATACAAGCTTGGCAATGCTCACTGTAGGAAGTTTCCTTGAAATGCCCTTTCCAAATAAGAATATATCTCGCAAATGTTCTTACTGTAGGCAGCAGGGGCTGGAGATGCAATCCTTTTGTTATACGAAGGCATGTTATATATGGGAATGATGCGATCCGTTGAGAGAAAATTATTAAAACAGGATTTGTGTTTATCTCTGTACCTTTTTCCCTAAAACGTTTCTTACACGCACACACCTACACAAAACTTTAATCCCTCATGGTGATATTTATCAAAACGACAGGCTTTCGCAAGGCTTTGTCAAATAAACACATTAAAAATAAATGTACCATCAGCCAAAACATTTAAAACATTGCAGTGGTTCCACTTGTCAACATGAAAAAAGTATTTGGGTCTAACTGTTCTAAATCTCCCAACATACGGACATTTCAAGCATTTGAAACAGCTGTAATTTGGTTTATCTTTGTCATTCCAAGATGAGCAAAGAGACTGATAATATTAACCATGTGCCAGATGTCATGTGACAATTTGTCCCACCCACAAGCATGATGACATTTGCATATAAGTGGGGGGAAAAAGAATCAAGACAAATGCTCCCATTTGTAAAGCAAACAGACTCAGACAATTAGCCTTGACGCAAGCTGCGAGGCTCTGACCTCTGTGTCCGTCTGCTTGCCCTGAGCTGACGCGAAGCCAGACCTGCAATATGTTGCCATCAAGAGCGTTGACTCGCATGCACCAGGCATCCTGGCACATGTCGCACTCAGCCGCAGGTAGAAACTTGCGAATACAAAACAGCCGGAAAATCGTGAATGGTTGCTCCTCTGACATAATTAGTAGCTATTCAGTCGAGTGACCTTTCTTCCTCTGATTCTATTTAACCCTGACAGGATGGCCTTGGTTAATATCGCAATGCACAATGTATAACAGGCTTCATGCTTCTGTGAAGGAGAAAATAGAGCTTGTGAGGAACTGACGGTGTGGAACCTTTCTGAGTTGGCTTTGATGCTCCCCGTTGGGCACAGCAAAAAAAGTGGGACCTTTGATGAATTGCCGAGTCCGTATAATATTTACTGTTCTTTTACAAAATTACAGCTAAGATACAAGAAGATGATATTGAAATTGAAGTGAAATTTGACCTCTCCAGTTGAACAGGAGTGAACTGGGAAGCGGCAGGTAACAAGCTGAACCACTTGGGAATAGCTGCCAGCATGGATGACGACTGAATGATTAATTACATTTGTAATATAATCTGAACACTCTAAATTGTCCCTCGGTGTGAGTGTGAGCGTGGTTGGTTGTTCGTCTCTGTGTGCCCTGCGATTGGCTGGCAACCAGTCCAGGGTGTCCCCCACCTACTGTCCGAAGACAGCTGGGATAGGCTACAGCAACCCCCGCGACCCTTGTGAGGATAAGCGGATCAGAAAATGGATGGATGGGTGGATATAATCTCAATTTCATAAAAAGTGATTTTGTAATCACAATGACTGCGATGTGATCATTAATGTATTGTGAAGTGGAGGAGCTGAGGACAGACGAGGGGGAGAGTGTGAGTGGAATATTGAACCTGCTTGATCTTTTTCGCCTCACAAGTTAAAAGAAAAACTCCTTGTGTGTGCTAAAAATAATCCTTCCCGTGTACGTGTGTTGTGTACTTTGTGAGTTTTGGCTGCCGTCGTATGTCAGAGCGCATGTGGAAATGTCTGATGGCAGTGGGATGTGTGCTGCCCTTGTAAAAGAAAAGGGTTGACTTCAATTTGTGTCTCTGATGTTAGAGCTCAAACAGGGAGAGGAAAATGTGCGGCGAATTGAGCCAGGACAAATCAAAAGTCATCCGTGCAAAGTTTTAAAGCGTTCAATTGTTTAGAGGATAAATTCCGCCGTTTGTTTCATCAATGAACCCAAAGACCGGCGAAGAAATTTTACTCCACATTTAATCGATGAGACGGCCAATAGTTGTATTGCCTGTTAGAAATATGTTATGTCATGAGCTACTTCATGATCATTATCAGTACACCAGTATCTTACTTTTCCTCCCCGTTAGCGTGCGGGGGGTTACTAAGTGGAGATCGATAAGCTTGAATTTTTATACAACCATGTTTTATTCGTTTATCCGTCTATATGATAACTTTGAGAGAGTGATTAAGAACTGCAGTTAACAGTGACATACAGTGCCATGTTTCACAAAATGATGTGTAGGAAATGATCTGTAATTTGTAGTCGATAAATTCTTTCATATTAATTAATGCTTTATTTGCCTTTCCCTTAGTGTCCCATAATGCATCCATCCATTTTCTTATCCGCTTTATCCTCACAAGGGTCGCGGGGTATGCTGGAGCCTATCTCAGCTGTCTTCGGACAGGAGGCAGGGGACACCCTGAATCGGTTGCCAGCCAAACACAGGGACGAACAACCATCCACACTCACACTCACAACGAGGTACAATTTAGAGTGTTCCATTAACCTGCCATGCATGTTTTTGGAAAGTGGGAGGAAACCGGAGTAGCTGGAGAAAACCCATGCAGGCACGGAGAGAACATACAAACTCCACACAGGAAGGCATATAAATAATAGTTTAATTAGAGTAGAATAGAATAGAAATAAAGATTAATTGGACATCACTGATGGTTCGTGTTACACTCACCCGACTTGTGTGCAGGCAGTGTGGAATCAATTCCCACTCGGTGACGGTGTGGATGGGAGTGGGAATGGTTCTTCATCTCTGTATGTGCCCCGCAACTGACTGGCGACCCATTCAGCATGTCGTCCGCCTTTTGCCCGAAGTCAGCTGGGATAGGTTCACGCAACTAGCCTCACCCCACCCGCTGCCCCATGACCCTGTTCAGGATGTTGAAAATGATTGAAAGATTAATTATTGAAAAATGCACTTGAAAAGGACATTGAAATAAAATATCAAATCACAATTGTAAGTTGGAGTAAAAAAAAAAAAAAAAAATGAATGCAATGTAACATCCACCCTTGACTCACTAAAGGACTATTCTCCAAACTAAACCATTTAAAACTCATTTCAAATCATTATGCGGGTGACCATGCAGATGAAGCTTACACCATTTAGTGCTGTCAAACATTGTCATCGTAAATAGATTCCGTGTGCCATTTTTTACAAACTCAATTCACGTTGTCAGCAGCCTCGCTGTCAGTCGGACAAAAATAAGTTTGTAATCCTTTTTAGGAAAACCCGATAGAACACCACCTACACACATTCCTTCATGTATTCCAGAAACACATGATGTTCCAAACAGTTACTTAAGAGAACATTGCAAGGTTCCTTCCTTTAATGCAGCAACAACGATTAAGTGACCAGCTTGTACCATGTACTGCCTTAATTGAAAATTCACAGCCTAGAGCATCATCAGCGGAGACAAGGATGAAAGAGAGCAGGGGGTGGTGGGGCATGACCTATGTGTATCGAACAAATTCCAACAATCGGGATAAGAACAACAGAAAATCAGTTGATGGGGTCATGATGCTAAGGGAAGTGTCCTCAGGGTGCCCGTCAAGCTGAGCGCTTCATATTAAGCCGGCATTGTGTGTTAAGTTAGCACTCGTTTTGGCGTCATCAACTGCCAACACCTGTGGCACCTGGGGGGCTGCGCGCCAGTGTGTGCGCTTTGTGTTAGGATGGCGGGGGTTTAATCTGTTCAAGAGCTGACCTCATTTGATGGTACGTATGCCGGTAAACATCCATGAGCACTGCTCAGCAGTGCTGCAGCATCATGATGTGTTCATTGACATTTTATGATTGGCTTCATTTACAGATGGATTTATTGACAGAAGTGTGAATCCTACTCTGGACGCTTGCAGGCAAGTGCAAATTTGAAATTCAGCCATGAGTTGAGGGGTTGTATGATTCTCAGACCTATAGATTATTTCTGTGGTGATAACAATCATACATCAACTCGTCAGATGTGCATAAAAATAAAGACATATTTAATGGCATTTAATGAGGCATGTCACTGTGGCGAGAATTTAGAGTTTGCACGGCAAACCAAATTATATATGAGCCACTCTGAATTTAAAGCATTTTCATGCTAAAGAATTCCTTCCTGCCAGATCTACATCATAATTAATGGTATAATACAGTAGTGTTCATTAGTGATATGCACCCATGTTTTTTCTGAATCTATTCTCACAATTTTTATGCAAGCGCAAATTGTGTGGCTTGCATGGACCTTGTGGACTACGAAAGCCTCACAAGCCAAGTTTGTCTGAACAAAAAACCTCCAACAAAAAAATCATGGCAAGTTATTGGAACACTCTAAATTGTCCCTTGGTGTGATTGTGAGCATGAATGGTTGTTTGTCTTTGTGTGCCCTGGGATTAGCTGGCACCCAGTTCAGGGTGTTGCCCGCGTACTGCTCATTGACCTCTGGGGTAGACTGCAGCATGCCCGCGACCGTTGTGAAAATTAGTGGCACGGATAACGGATGGGTGGATACTTTGCATTAGGCCGTGTTTCTGAACATTAATTAAAAAAAAAAATAAAATAAAAAAAAAAATCAATGGCACCGGATTCCCTGAATGTGTTTAAGCTGATTAAACTATTTCAAAATAACGATTACGCCCACACTATGTTCATATAATCCAACATATTGCAAGATTTGTTCTTATATGCCCAGACTATGGTGAGGATATTCAAATATACAATCTGTGCAAATAAAATTTTGTGACAATCGGCCCCTTTCGGACATTGACATTTTTTTTTCTCTACAAGGCAAGTAAAGGAGGCAAAGTTATGATGTGAAGAGAATTTAAAAATATTTCCTTCTAGTATTTTATTATATTATCACATGCACACATACATTTTGGTGCTCATCCAACCCAGTTTTAGTACATTATGCCACACTACTGGAGCAGTTGCACACCACAGCACAGTACATGTGTAGGCTGCAGTCTTTCCCGCAATAACTGTCTTTTTTGTTTGTTTGTTTGGTTCCCCCCCACCCCCCTTTTTCGGGGGAAGAATATGATACATGACATTTAGGAATAGCAATACTTGACGATGCCATATGGCATTTTTGTAGCACAATAAAACAGGAAACATGTCCAAGACGAAGAGTAACAGACATGTCACAGTGATTACATGAGCTCATCAAAACTGTCTCATGAGGCAGCTTATGTTGATACTGCATTGGCTTAAAACTTTTTTTCATTGAATCAGATGTCATTGATATTTGCACTATTAATATTCCTACACGCTGCCAAATAGAATGAATGACAATTTTGAGTTGTATGTTTTGTCTGTGTGTTTGTTGTATGGTTTGTCTTTTAGTGATCCCATGAGGATTTTTACTTTTATGTTTTGCTGTACATCACTGAGAAATGTATTCCCTAATGCTCATTACCTGAAAGTGTATGCTACCAAAAGCGGATGCCCAGCAGAGAGACTGTGCACAACCTGTTGTCACAGCTGGATGTTCGTAATCGTTTTTGGACGCTGCCAGGAAGCAACAGCAGCTTTTCAATAAAGTAGTGTGTGGCCTTGTCTTTTTCCACTGAAGGGTTGTGTGAGTGAGAGAAAGAATTTAGCCATGGCAGGCGACTGATTGACGGTTTAGCAAGCCCAGCCTGCTACAGATTGACACAGTGGAAGCCTGGCTCATGCAGCCTGAATTACACACACACACACACACACACACACACACACACACACACACACACACACACACACACACACACACACACACACACACACACACACACACATTACTCCACACTTCAGTAACTGGCAGGGTGCTCATCTTGGAATGTTTACCAAATGCCCTCTACATTTGACCATGATGCACCACAAACACATTCAAGAATTCTGCTGTACTACACAAAAACTGCACCATTTTACATTAAACAGTAACAGCCAAAGTGAGAAAAATTGAAATTAAAATTATACCAGACAATAACAAGTATGTCAACTTTCCCACCAGGAAAAAAAAAAAAAACAATTTTTTATTCAGTTAAAGATTATGGCTTAATAAATGTGTGTTATCATGAGGTAAATGATTGCTTTCCTTTTCCATCCAGTTTATCAGTGGCAGGCACTAGGGGCCTTCCAAACCTTCTCTGGTGGCCTAAATAGTATCAAAAGACCTGAATTTAAAACTTGGATTAAATTGTATCCTGTCAGGTTCTGTCAACGATACGAGGAGGAGGTAGGCAGCGGCGCCAGTGGACTGGACTCCACGGGCTTGACCGGCAACACCTTGAAAACTGGATGGACCTTGAGAGTAGGTGGGAGGCGGAGTTTGACAGTTCACGATCACCTCCACCTCGAACAGCTCGATGAATCTTGGTCCTAACTTACATGAGCAGCCTGCCAGATGCAGATTCTGTGTGGAGAACCAATCTTTATGGCCCGGACGGTAATCGGGTGAAGGACGTCGTCGGCTATCAGCTATTTGCCGATTCTGTTCAACGGTGCGAGACAATGCTGTTCTTGTCTCCATCCAGACATGATGGGCCCACTTCAGATGGAGTTGTATGGATGGGATGTCCATTTGGCTCTCTTGAGAGGGAAACAGAGGGGCGTGGTAAACGTACACAGCCATGAATGGAGAACGACCTGTGGCAGACATGGAAGCTGACTGGCCCATGATGCTGGTTGATGGAGACAGGCCCAACGGAGAGCCGTCTCCAGGTCTTAGTTGACCCTCTCACTTTGACTATTGAATTGCGGGTGATATCCTGAAGAGAGGCTGGCTGTGGGTCCCATGGCCATGTAAAACTTTTTCCACCCTGAGAGACAAATTGAGAGCCCCGATCTGACACAATGTCCATAGGAATATCATGGAGTCTGAACACATAGCAGCTCAACAGTCTCCAATGATGACGGAAGCTTGAATAGAGCAAACAAATGAGCCAGTTGAGAAGATTGGTCCACCAAGATGGTTTCCACCATTTGTTTCATCCATGAATGTGTGAGTGTGTGTGCGTGTGTGCGTGTGTGTGTGTGTGTGTGTGTGTGTGTGTGTGTGTGTGTGTGTGTGTGTATATACGTGTGCTTCCTGCTACAGTTGTGGAGTGAAAGAAATGTTTAAGGTGTGCACTTGGGCAGTGGTAAAAGTGTTTTTACAAGAACTGAACACCACTCTGAATGGTTATGTTAGTTAAGAAAGGTATCATGACAGACACTCTTCTTATTATAAACTAGTGCTCTTTCTTTTCTTTAGTCCTCTTGCACTTCATGGCACGCACAGCCAACCATAGCAACCAGGTCTCTCCATCTGGGTCTGTTGTGGGCAAGGTGTTGACCTTGTTCCATGTGTCTCATTGCAGGCCCCAAGGTCCAGGGCTATTACGTCCAGCCAGCGAGTGCGGGGGGTACCTCTGGGTCGTCTTCAGCCAGCTTGCTGGGGGTTGAAGGCCAAGATGGTGCTGGTTGGGTGTTCCTGGGGCAGGCGGATGACATGGCCATACCATTGCACTCGCCTCATTGCAACGAGACGGGAGGCTGGTGGCTGTTTAGTTTTGTCTCTTAGAGCCTGATTTGTGATGTGCTCGGTCCACGACATACCTTCAATCCTCCTGAGGGCCCTGGAGTCAAAGCCATCAAGCCTGGCTGCAAGAGTGTTGTTCAGTGGCAAGGTTTCGGAGCCGTACAGGAGGACGTCCTCCTAAACTAGTGCACCATTCCAAAAACTTTAAATGTGTTTGCCATATTAGAGATGTACTGTAATTTACCACTGTATGATTTGTCTTTTGGTCCTGTGTATGTGGTCGTCTGACACCCAAAGAGGCTCTGTAAGTGGGTTAACAGCAGCAAGTTCAGGCTGTCCGGTTATTTGGCTGTGTGATCCACAGTATTTTTTTAGCGAGCCCATGCAGCACCATTTTTGGGATTAGAGTTTATGGTGCTGCAAGATCTTTGATGTTTGCCATGCAAGGTGACTCCTGTGTGTGTGTGTGTGTGTGTGTGTGTGTGTGTGTGTGTGTGTGTGTGTGTGTGTGTGTTGGGGTAAAAATGAATATTAGCCAGATTGTGATGATTTTAATTATAATGTGAAAGAAGACGGCTGCCGGGGTTTTAAATACAATTCCAGTAAGTGGAACGTGCAACTGGTAGCTGATGCCTGGGAATTTTTGTCTTTGTCCCCACAATGAAAGTGTACTTGGGCTGACACACACTGGCCTATTTGGTCCACTGAAGCTCCTCAATACATGGCAAAAGATAGCAAACCATGACTTGCAGCTATAGATCTACTTTCCCGAATGAATGTGAAGCAGTCAGGGGAAAGGTACGTTGAAGAAAACTTGATAAGTAAAAAGCAAGAAAGCACTGGTCTGGATATGAGCTTGATTAGGCATCAGCCGATGTTCGCTAGGCTTTATCAGACTGCACAATCTGTCTCCTTGGCTGCATCGCTTTTTGTTCTATTCATCTGGGGTCAAATTAATCTCCCTCATTCTACAGATAGTATATCTTTTTTGATAGGTATCACATTGATTCCTCCGAACAATGGATGCGTTTTTTTTTTTTGTCTTGCAAATGATTCCTTCCCAACAAGCTGACTAAAACCTCTCTGAATAAAGATTCCCAAATCATGATGTGCAGACAGTCTGTGACCTTTCCACTTCTCATTTGAAATGTAGCATTATTCCTTACCATCTTTTGTACATATGCATATATAAAATGCATTAAAAAACTGCCTTGGTCTGCTCATTAAAGACAACACATACTGCACTAATGATATTTTAAAACAATTCTCTGTCCATGTTTTCTGTGTCTCTGGCATTTGGTAACGTCATTTCCCTTCTGTCAACAATCTCGCTTGGTTTGTTGGTGAAGAGAGCCTCCTAACGTGTTGCATATCTACAGTGGAACCTCATAATAGTTATGACCCTTTTTACGCAAAATTCGAGTTAGGCACATTTTTGCTGGAAAATTACCTCTATTTATGTCCTATTTTTGATACCTGAACGGTCTTGGTATGGACAAGCAGATGCTGTATTTCTCCTCTCACGGTGTACCTATCATTGAGAATATGCATAATGCATTACAGTGATTTGAGAACTAGTGATATCACTCTGTGGCTTTAAGGCAGAAGTTCCACCTCCGCATCCTTGATCATCCAATCACAAAATAAAACAAAAATATAAGTATCGGTATAACTTAAGATAGGGGTGGAACGGATTAATTGCATTTCCATTCCATTCAATGCGAACCATTACCTCTACTTATGATGATTTCAAAATCAACAAGCTCAGGGAACGAATTAAGATTATAACTTGAGGTTTCACTGTATTAACAGTACAAATTGTTTGTGTGTGTGTGTGTGTGTGTGTGT